CGCCGGGACCCACCGCGCCGGACAGGCAGCGAGGGAGGGAAAGGGGGGGGCAAAGGAAGGTGTAAAAGGCACTCACAAATCCGTGCTTGTCAGAGATGTTGTTAGTGAGCTTCAGCTTGTGAAAGGTGACGACTTTGGACATCCATTGTTCGCCGGTGGCCGGGCTGTCCGGGTGGATGTACATTCTCTTTGGCATTTCAGGGTCAGCTTTGCCGGCTACCATCCACCGGGAATTATGGAATTTGTACCTACAATCATCAGCCGCCACAATATCCATCAATAAAATGTACTTGGCCTTTTTATCCAGTCCAGTGCATCTCACTTTAAATGGAGGAAACATTCTCCTACGGGCAGAGAGAGGGAGGGGGGATATAAAGAAAAGACAAGACGAAAAGAAAATAAAATTAATTACAGCGTTTAAATAAGCTCCTGAATCTCGGTAGCGCGTTCACCGAGCAATCGCTTCAGCTCTCAGAAGCAGAAAAGTCGTGTCCGTCCCCCCCTCCCAGCAAAAGGGCTTCCCCCCGCCCCCAGCGAAAAGGTTTCTCAAACGCTTAAAAGTTTCAGGAGAAAATGGTCCCTGGGATGGGAGGCGGAGGGGAGAGGTACGTGTTCCCTAGAAATCAGCAGGCGCCTACCCTCTGCCATTCCTAAACAGCAAAGCCTCATTTGGGGCTCTCAGACCTCTCATTATTTTCCTTTTCGCCTGCTAAACAAAGAAACGGGAACAGATCGCGCCCCGATAAAATAAATGCTCCGCGTTATTCTAACCGGCTGCACCGACGAAGAGCGGAGAGGGGAGTTTTTCACTTTGCAGAGGAGGAGAAAAAGAACTACAGTGAGGGCAGGGTGGCTGCCGTGGCTCTCCCAGCGCTGCAGCCTCCCGGTGATCACCCGTTCGTGCCGAGGGCTCTCTGCAAACCCCGCTCCCCTCCGCTCCTAAGTCCAGCTCGAAACTGCAACAGGATACCACAAATTTGCTGTTTATTATATCGAGCGGTTGGCATTCAGCAATCTCAACTTAAAAGGAAACACATGACTTTGCAACATGTAAGAGGGTTTAATACTCGCCGAGGCTTTCGCGCAAAAACTTTTGACCACAATTAACAGAGAAAACTTCGGGAAAGCAGTAAAATGGGCGAGGGGATTTTTTTTTCTTTCCTCCTTGCTGCTTTTAGGTTTGTTTGTTTTTTTTTTTCTTGAGCCTTTAGCCTGCAACTGTTCCCTCCTTGCTGCTTTTAGGTTTGGTTTTCTTTTTTTCTTGAGCCTTTAGCCTGCAACTGGTGCTCTGCAAGTAGATGAAGCTCCAGCAAGGCAGCTGAAGGCCATCTAAGAAGACTTTTCAGGAGTGGCTTCCTCGAGTAATTCTCCTGGCAAATCACACGCGAATTGTTTGGGAGGTTTCTAAGAGAGTCCCTGAGCAAAACACCCGGGTGCGAAGGGGCTTTTCTCCCTACGTGTCATCACAGCAATAGGTAGAGTTGTAAAAGAGCGCAGATGTCAATGAGTAGCGAATACAGAGAGGGATTTCAGATGGGTAAACCCATAAAAAGCAGCAACGCCGAGCGTGGACGCGCCGTGTGTGTTCATTCATTCCCACGTGAAGGTTATATAAATACAGGGACAGGCAGCGCGGAGCTGCAAAACCTTCCCTGCCGCTACAGCGGCGGCTGCAGGACCGCTGGGTGCTTTTGTCAGCTTTTTGTGCCATTTCCAGGTGTAGTTAGTCAGCACAAATACACACACCTCGATCCCAGCAGAGAGACAGGCACAAGCGAAGCAGCCGATAAACCGAGCCTATCTGCCCTCCCGAAGCTCCCGCCTCACCAGCAGCGATACGCCGCTCCAAAGGATTTTTTCCTTGATTCCCCCTTCTCCTCCCTAAGGAAGAAAAACTACGCGTAGCAAGGCTGAAATCAGGCCAGCTCCTTCTCCAACCCCAAATTATTTTCTTTCTGCTACCAGTCTCCTCCAGAAAGTCTTAAGCTACTGAACCATGAAGGGACCCTCTCGCCCCCTGCCCACGCACACGCTGAGCAGGGCCGGTTCGCGGTTCAGTGATCGAGCCTTTCCCTGCAGCGCGGTGCCCGAGACGGGCTCGGATCTTCAGCTGCCTAAAACTTGCCGTAATTCCAGGCGAAAGGAGCTTTATGGAGGAATTTGTCGGCGAAAGAGCCTCGCTCTGGAGCAGCCAGGTGGGGTGCAGAGACCGAGGGGTGGGGGAGAGGGGGGTGGGGGGAAAAGGCACGAACCCCCGACCCAGACCTACCTTCCCCACTTGGTGATCAC